TAAAAATAACAAAACAAATAACTTAGGACGAGCACACCTAAAAAGCTAAACATTCTAATAATAGAAATATTAACAAAAACCAACAACCACATGATCAAGTGAATTGCAGCGGAATAGCTGCGCTTGATTGTAGTTGGCTTAGCAAAGTGAAATAGTGGAAAATAAGCAACAAGAATTAACAAGACAAACTTAGCACAGTGCGTAGGCAACTGGCTGAGTCAGTGGGATCGTCGGTTCGAATCCTACTGAAAGAAGTCTGATGAGGAAATGTGGTGATTTCCGAAGTAGCTATCACACTTCTACCATTTTTTCAAATTACTGTTGCTTTTCCACAATAACTTTTTCACTTTAAAAACGGCCTCAAGCTCATAAAAATTGTTGAATATTATTGTTATAAGGCCATAAAAAAAACAAAAACAAATAACTTAGGACGAGCACACCTAAAAAGTTAAACATTCTAATAATAGAAATATTAACAAAAACCAACAAAACCAACAACCACATGATCAAGTGAATTGCAGCGGAATAGCTGCGCTTGATTGTAGTTGGCTTCGGAAAGTGAAATAGTGGAAAATAAGCAACAAGAATTAACAAGACAAACTTAGCACAGTGCGTAGGCAACTGGCTGAGTCAGTGGTGATCGTCGGTTCGAATCCTACTGAAAGAAGTCTGATGAGGAAATGTGGTGATTTCCGAAGTAGCTATCACACTTCTACCATTTTTTCAAATTACTGTTGCTTTTCCACAATAAGCTTTCACTTTAAAAACGGCCTCAAGCTCATAAAAATTGTTTAATATAACTGTTATAAGGCCATAAAAATAACAAAAACAGAAAAAAAATAATAAAATAATGTCAAGTGCTCAAATCTTCATGAAACTTTCACCTTGCTATGTACCTAAAATAAATAAATTTACATCAAACAAAATGATAAATTTGGGAAATAAATTACTTTTTACCAGAGACCGTACCGGTTATTCATTTTATAATAAAAAGCGAAAAATTTAAGTTATTTTTGGACTTTTATTATTTTGAGCAAATAATACCGGGTAATTTTGCTTTTTATTTTTTTTAAGGCAAAAATAAAAGTTAAAATTTGCCTTTTATTTTTTCGAGTAGAAAATAATCGGTAATTATTGCCTTTTATTTTTTCAGGCAAAAATAAAAGTCAAAGTTCCAAATCAAGTATTCCAGAGTTTTGTATACTCGAACGTAATAGTTTTAAAGATCCTATCTGGATTCTAATAACTCCCTAATAAACAAATACCAGGGTTAGATCAAATCTTAATACGTATTACTATGTATAAGTACAATACATGAAGGGATCTTTTGATAACGGCATCAGATCTGCACCGATTCGAGATTCAAAACTGAGGTTACGAATTAAGGGTATGGCTTCTAAATGTACAACAAGGTATGAGATTTTTGAAATGGGTTGCCACCTTTTTTAAAATTATAAAACCTGCTCGTTGTATTAAAAAAATTAGGTGTAAAATGAAAGGGCAGGGCCTCTAGAAGTGCAATAAAGTTTAATTTTTTTTAATTGGGTTGCCACCCGCTTATAAAATTACAAAACTTACACCGTTCGCGCAAATTTAAAAAATTATATAATGTGTCATATAAACGGACTTGGTCTATAGATCTACAAGGAAGCATGTCTTATTTTTTTAAAGGGTTGCCAGCTGTTAAAAATTATTTTTTTTTGTGCAGAGCACCAAATTTACACCGTCCTCTCGATTCTAAAATGAGGTGCCAAGTGAAAGGTATTCACCTAGAGATGAGCTTTCTGTTAAATTTTTTTTTAATGTTTGCCACCTAATTGTAAATTTATTGCTTGAAATATGATACTCAGTAAAATATCGCAATATGGGCATAAAGCGAGGTTTTTATACTAAATTAATACGTTAGTGGTTTTAAGAGTTGCCACCCATTAAAAAATATATAGTTGTGAAAGGTAAGTAACGTATTAAGGACAATCGATATTGGTATCAAACGACAGCTAGTTAAATGTCCTTTGTATAAATGTATGCGAATTTTCGACAGGTGTCATCTAGTTAACAACTCTTAACTAGCTTTCGATTGATAGCAATATCGAATGCCCTTAATACATGACTTACCATTCATAGTTATAAATGTGTTTAATAAGTAGTAACTCTATTAAAAGGCACCAATATATTAATTTAATCTCAAACCCATATTGTGATATTTTACTATCATATTTTAAACAATGCATTTTTAATTAAAAAAACAAATCACGTCTATAGGTGAATACCTTTAATTTGACACCACATTTCGAAACTCGAGAGAACGGTGTAAATCTGATTCTCTGCAATAAAAAAATGTGTAACAGGTGGCAACTCTTTTTAAAAAAATAAGAGGTTCTTCCTTGCAGATCTATAGACCAAGCCCGTTTATATGGCATATGATATCATTTTTTTAAATTGCGCGAACGGTTTAAGTCTTATGATTTTTTTATCAGGTGGCAACCCTATTCAAAATAATGAAACCTTCTTGCACATCTAGAGGCCCAGCCCTGTAATTTGGAACCTATTTTTTTCTAATACAATGAACGGTGCAGGTTTTATAATTTTAAAAAAGGGGCAACCCTTTCCAAAAAAGTCATACCTTGCTGTACATTTAGAGGCCAAGCCCTTTAATTTGGAGCCTCAGTTTTGAAAATCGGATGATCTGTGCAGATCTGATGCCGTTAACAAAAGATGCCTTCATGTATTGTATTTATATATAGTACATACATATTTAGATTTGATCTAACCCTGGTATTTGTGTATTGGGGAGTTATTAAAATCCAGATAGGAGCTTTTAAACTATTAAATTCGAGTATACACAACTCTGTAATACTTTATTTGTAACTTTGACTGTTATTTTTGCCTGAAAAAATAAAAGGCAACAATTACCGATTATTTTCTGCTCAAAAAAGTAAAAGGCAAATTTTAACTTTTATTTTTGCCATAAAAAAATAAAAAGCAGATATAATCGGTACTATTTGCTCAAAATGATAAAAGTCAGATTTTTAAAAGTCATGGAGGAATCACAGTCTACAATGTGAAATGAGTCTAATGGTACCTTTAAAAAAGCTATAGCATAATTTTTTCACTATGCCTTGTTGATGTCAACAATTGTAAAATAACTTTTATTTTCAGTCTCTGCTTTTTACAATGTTATATTGTAACAAATTTATCATCAAACGGTGGCTTTAAAATTTCTTTGATATGTATTAAATTTAATCCACATATTTGTGCTTACTCGTAAAATTAATGCACTAAACGAAGCTTTATTCTAATAAATTCTAAATTTTATGTCATTAGTGCTGAAGAGCAACCGTGCGTGTAAAAGAATATGTAGTACCTACAATTTTACCTCTGGAAACTTTATCCACATAAAGGACTTCACCGCAGTTTTTTTTACTGGATACACTGAGGTTTAGTTTGTTGCAAATTTTCAAAGAGAGGGGTTGTTCTTGCGCAGATAATTATTCGTTAGAAATTTGCTTGTAAAAAAGAACAATCGTGCACAAAATAACTTTTTTATATAACGGTTTGCTACCGACTCAGTGATGGTACAAAATTTTTTGGAAAATCCCCACTCAACACAAATAAAATCCCCACTTTTCACTACGCTTTTAAAACTATTTCCCCACAAAACTCGCTATAATTTGTGTCTAATAATTCCTTATAACATTAAAAGAAGACCGATAAAGAGTTGACTTCATAAAACACGGAAGGTTCAATGTTTAAAAAATTCATTATAATAACAAATAAAATACATAAACATATAATATGTACACTATTGCGTTGTTGGTGTACATATCAATGGTTTTATGCGATAACGACCCAACTCAAAACAAAAAGCCCATAATCCTGTAAAGGGGCTCACGTCTCTAATCCTTACTTCTTACGTTGGATTGGATTATACAAGGATTCGTGACACTAGCACTTAACCGGGTTAAAGATTTTTTGTTTGATTTGTGAGTTGTGTGGTTTACAGATTCTGATCGTTATCGGAATCACTGATCGGACTTCAAAAAAATTGTGGTAGAATCTGGAAAGAAATGTGGTAGATTTCAAAAAAATGTGGTAGATCTCAGGTTTTGGATCAAACTTTGTACAAAAATTAAAAAAATTCTGCAAGGTTTCACCTAAACTGCAAACATTTTTATTAGAATCTAAAAAAAAGTAATTTTAGCATAATAAAGTGCAAGATTGAAGTTGCTAAAAATTTCGTTGAGTTTTGGCAATTTTTTTTTCTTGACAGTGAAAAGCAGTTCGAATATATTTTGAAAGATTTCTGCAACCTTACGGAGTGCTGCCAGCTTTTCTTGTTATCACATCACGATGTAGCGAACAAAAGTGGCACGTTCCAGAAACCCTTACTTGGGATTTGCCGATTTTGACAATTCTCAAGTAAAAGTAAACAGCGCTTTAGAAACTTTAGATGCACTGAAATTTGCTACTTTCACAAAAATCGCCGTTTTTTAACATTTTCGCTGTTAATTCTTTTTTATAAATCATATATTTTGCGATATAACACAATAAAACCACGTTTCCTGTCGAAAAATTTAATATTGAGAAAGTTTACTATTTTACGGTTTATTTTATTCTCCCATTCTGCCTGTTGTTAGTGTTTAGTGTTGGACGATTTTTGCTCTTAAAATTAAGAAAATTATCTCGAGCAAAACTAAAACTACTCAAAAACGCGAATATGTGGTAGATTTCAGACCCTATGTGGTAGATGCTCAAAAAAGTGGCAGATCTACCACAATGTGGTAGAAGTCCGGAATCAGAATTGAAATCGACAAAAGTTTGGTTTTGGTGTTACAAATTCTGATTTTATAGGTTTCATGTTCGAATCAGAGTTGGTATCGGTTTTAGGTATTACAAAAACCGACTAATCGGTTTACTTGTCAGAACTAAACCGATACGTTTTGTGCTGACATAATTATTTATCTAGTGTGCAATTAAGTCGTGTGTCATTCTTGGTCGTGTGTTGTGTGCCAATTTTTAAATTACGGGAAAGTGGTAAAATGTACGTTATACAAGAACAGATAAATGAAATACATCTTACTTTATAAATTGTTTTTATTTATACTTAACTAGGGGAAAACATAAGGGCCAAATTATTCTTCTGATCCAATTTATGGAAGAAAACCCAGATTTAGCTAAGGGATTTTCAAAACGGGATAAGTCCCTCGTAAGCTCGTTGTGGCAGGAATTGACCGATACGTTAAAAGCCGCAGGTCCACCAACAAAAGATGTAAATGGGTGGAAAAAAGTAATGAGCTCGAAAATCGATTCTTAAATTTTTTCTAACGGTATATTCATTGGTCTTCTCTAGGTATGGACTGAGTGGAAAAGCGAAGTTAAGAAGAAATTGGCACACAATACAAGTGAAACGCGAGCAACTGGTGGTGGACCTTTCACAAAACATACATTGACCGAATCTGAAGAAGCCATTGTCCGAATATGTGGAATGACGCGGGCGGTAGAGGGCAGGCGATGAACTTAGCGACGACATTCCTACGACATCGTCAAAGAGGAGAGCCGAGACTCCACACGTTCCCAACACTCCAAAGAAACTTAAGCCGGAAGTTTCGCAGCGGCTGACATCATTTTTAGATGAGTACACTGACAACAAAAAAGACTTAAATAGTAAGATAGGTGAACTAATAAAAGTAGAAAAGGAAAATGCTAGCAATATAAGACGAGTATATAAAGCAATAGAAAAAGGTACTGAATCGTTTGAAAGGACAGCAACAGAATTTAAAAATGCACTGCGTAACGTTAGTGTCAGCATGTTAACTGCCATGCAGGAGAAAAATGAATTAAAACAAAAACAGCTAGATCTGGAAATTTTAAAACTAGAACATCAAACGAAAAGAAATTAAAGTTTTGCGACAAACATGAAGAGTTTTTTTGCTCAAATAAATGAATTTTGAAGTATTATTTTTATACAAATAATTGAAATTTGATAATTTAATTTATTCAAATAAATGAAATGTGATAATTTTGAGTTTACAATAAAACTATTTATTATATTATTCTTAAATATTTTTTTTTATGGTTGGCTGCTATTTCATCCCTTATTCTTCGTCCCCCAGCTAGTAATGGCAAGGTAGGGAACGCCTCACTATTATCAAGAAATGATTCGGTTGAATCCAAAACATTCTCCCCAGGAAAAGTTTCGGTCGATTCTAAAACATTCGCACTATATTGTAGTTTATAATGCCTACAAATGTTGTGGAGTGCACAACACGCATTTATAATTTGAACCACTTTTTGTGGGCTATAATGCAGCGTTCTTATCAAGCAGCGGAAGCGGCTTTTTAACACTCCAATTGTTCTCTCCACAATATTCCTCGCTGAGGAGTGTGCCATACTAAATTTATATTCGCGGGAGTTATATTGTGGATATCTGTATGGCGTTAAAAGGAATGGTTCAATGGGATAGCCGCCGTCTCCTGGCAGCCTGTTGTTTTTTTCGCCGGCCTTATATTGGCTTAGATAAAATAGTCCAGCGCTGCTTATATTCCAGATAAAAGAGTCGTGGCTTGAACCAGGATATCTTGCATCAACCGCTCGAATTAACATATCGTTATCGTAAATCTTCGAAAATAAAAATATTAATATAAAAAGTTAATAGATGTATCTACACATTTTACTTTTTTTTAACTTACAATCATCGCATTCATGCTGAAATACCCTTTCCGATTAAAATATAAATGCTCATCAACCGAGGGTTTTACAATTTTTACGTGCGTTCCATCAATGCATCCAGTACTGCCTGAAATGCGGTATTTTGTGTAGAAATATTCCCTTGCCCTTCGTTTTTCGCTGTTGTTCATTTCAAGTTTAACCCAGCGTCTGCAAATTGACTGTTCAAGGGCTTTCAGCACTTCCCTTATCACCACCGATACCTGCTCCTCGCTAAGCATACGCTCAAATCGTTACCCACAGATCTTTGATAAGATCCCTCAGCGAAAAATCTTAAAACTGCTGCAAGTTGCAGTACCGGAGAAATCGATAACCAATCTAGCTTGCATTTTATTACGTCTAACACCATTACAAAAGCTTCCTTATTAAGGCGATATTGGTCAATAAACCTGCAAAATTGTAGACGTTTATTAATGAAGCAGTAAATGAGAGATCTACAGCGAATGCACTTACGTTGCCTCTGGCAGTTTCAGCGGATTGCTCTTGTCTCGCAAAATCGTTCGCTGTATTTTTTGAGTGGATTCTCTAGTGTCATTCATTAAAAGAAACACTACCACCGCAGAAGTCATATTTGTTCACTTTTCAATTTAATTTCTTACTTCACAATAAACAAAACAGCTGATTCGAATATCGGTTTTGCTATCTTCGAAAAAAGTAAAATCAAGTCGGTTTCATAACACTATTTCAACCCGATATCGGTTTCAAATTTCGACAATGTGAGATTCCGATATCTTTTTTGTAACATCTCTGAATACATTTGATTTAACTTTAACATTTGGCTTTATCAAGGGGACGCCCAAATGGCTACTGAGGCCGCAAAAATCGTGAACCAGTGCTCATGAAATATCAATTCGAATGTGCCATTGAAGAAACTTGCCTTCAAAATGTATACAATGCCGCAAATTTGTCGAAATTGATGCAAATGTACAAAATGAACACGCGCCAATTTGTGTACGAATTAGTTGTCGACGCTAGTTTGAAAAAAAAAAACACGAAGTTAGTGGTGACTGCATGCTGCCATTCGAACACTTTTTCGGATTTAACGCTGTTGGAACATATTCTTGATAAAAAGTTGCCATCTGAACGTATCTGCATATTTGAATTTTGAGCGAAACAAATTTTTTACATAAAAATTTCGATGTCTCGAAAAATCACTATATTTAACTTATTTATAAAAATCTGTCCTTCTTTTCCCTACACTCATTTTTTTTCGACTAAAATCCCTACGTGTAGGGAATTTTCGCTAAATATACCAACACTGTACCGTCTTAGCCTAGCAGCAGCGCTCAGCACTCTTATAGCTCAGTTATGAATACCTTGCACTACTTTGCACTGCTATGCCATTTTTACGTTTAAATCAAAAACCAACAGACACGCAAAGGTCATTTAACAGATTCCTTATGTGGCAACTCTCATGCAACCCAAGTATGCCTAACTGAGCTATTTACGAACACATGTGCAACCAAGATTGTTAACTCGTTATTGTTCGCCAGTATGAATGTGCACATACTATTTCTTACATATATAAAATAAATTTAAACCTTATTGATATAGTAATACAAAAAAATTAAATTGGGCGACTTTTTATGATTTTGAATTATTTTTAATAAATAGACTACAAATATAGTTAGAAATTTTTTCTCTAAAACAAAAGGTGAATACTATAGCCTTTGGCAATATACATTGCATAAAATGGGTTAATACACGTACATGGTTATTGCTTACCCTTTCGGTTTTAAGTTTTTACCCCGAATCTAGCTCCTGCTTACCCGCGCTGCTGCGCGCGAGCTGTTATGCTGCCCAACCCTAGCGTAGCCGATACCTTCTGCAATCCTTATTTCTATCTTCTTAAGCCTCTTCTGTTAGTGGCAAAAGTACGTACATATTGTACCACCTCGTGACTATGAAAGAAAATTTTGTGCAACGTTCACCCAGAAAAAGGTTTAGTTATAATAACCAAGATTTGGTTATAGTGATCAAGTGGCATAGTTGGATATGGCGAAATAAATATATGGTTCACGAAAGTCTGCAATTTACTTAAGACTTCTAGTTGGGACAAATGTATATTTGTTAATAATTACAAAACGACTACCTTGATTGGACAATATTGTTAGTTGAATAAAATCATTGTTGAGCAAATATAAACAATGCTTTGGTTGATACAAGTTTTCAATTAATTTTGTGAACTTGCTGTAGACTTGAATCAGCTA